TGGTGTCCAGTAAGTGATGTACAGGGGTCAGCCCCTCCTCTGAGCCACCATGTCCTTCTGTGTGTGGCCTTCTCTGGGTTGGGTTGAGAGTGACCAGGGAGGCTGACAAGGGGGGTCTGAGTCCCCTGCCTCTGTTTCTGCTGCTCTCCTCCACCTGTCTCTCTCAGTTCCTGCACACACACACCCCCGCCCCCAGGAGCGGATGGGAGAGCCAGCTTTGTGGGCAGATAGGAGATAGTCTTGGGGTCCTTGAGATCCCCAGGGGACAAGTAAGTTGCAGTGCAGGGGTCACAGGTGACATATGAGCCTGGCGTGAAGGACCAGGAGGATTTGGGCTCCAGAAAAGGGATGGAATGTGGGGCAAAAAGAACACGTGTGAGCCCTTGGGCCATCGCCCCGATGACACGGGCCCGACTCTGGGCAGCTCAAACCTCCCAGCAAGCAGGAATTCCAGACGCCGTAACACCATGTCCCCAGCATCCTGCAGGTCCCTAGGGGGCCCCAGAAATATCCTGCATCTTGGCCTGAAATGTCCCCCCAGGGAGGTGCCTCCCAACGGGGTGGCTCTCTCGGGTCAGGCCCCTTGCATCTTTGTGCCCTGAGGTAGCAACATCCCCCAGGGAGCTGATGGGGTCAGACCCAGAAGCAGCCCACCCCCCAGACTCCAGGACCAGCTGATTCCTTCCTCTCTGGGGCCTCAGAGCCCCTCCTGCCTGCCTGGCTCCCAGCACCACCGGGACCTTCAGGCCCCTCTGTGTGAGCCAGCATTCCCAGGAGAGCCCCAGGTCCCATGCCAAAGGAGGGGTTCAAATACACATGTGTGGGGAGCAGAGCTGCCTAAATTCCTGCAACAGTCCCCTTGGCCACCTAGGCTCCTGCTGCAGGGGGCACCAGGGTGTCTGGGGAAGGAGCCAGGGCATGGAGACAGCACAGCAGGACTAGAGGCTGCAAAGGGCACTGGGGGCCGGGCCAGCAGGAGAGGGGCCTGGGGTGACCCCCTCTGTATCTACCAGTTTGGGGTGATGGGTTGTGAATGGTCCCGCCCCTGACATACATTCTCTTCCTTTCTTCTTCTTTCTGCTCTATTTTTGCCCCTTTTCCCTACTGCGCCCAAACCCGGAACCAGCCTTCTGCTTTCATTTTGTGTTTATTGGAAAACGGCTGTGCCCAGCTCTGGGCCAGCTCAAACGGCTTCCCCCCCGGAAGTGAGTTCTCATGGCTTGGCCGAGTTAAAAATAGAGGCAGGAGACAGTGAGAAACAGGCAAAGAAACCTAAGAGAAGGGGACACAGAGAGACACAGCCAGGAAGACAGAGAGAGGCAGGAAGAGGCAGCGAGGGTTGCAGCAGGTCCCCGCCCCCCATGCAAGTGTCCATGTATCAGGCTGATATCGGGTGACATGTGCCCACTGGACGTCCCTTCATGACTCAAGACCATTGTCACTGAGCCTGTTTTCCCAGGTGTGTGCCCCTGAGACCGGAGGGCTGAGTGGGTTGTTGCAGCCACACCTTGTGGTCAGTGTCACTCACCAGCTCATGCTCCAGGCCCCCAGAAGAGCCCAGAGAAGCAAGCCCAGGTGTGGCTGGAGTCCCCGTGGGAATTCAGGGGGTGGGGAGAATCCCACCCATTCCATGCTGGCCTCCCCCAGCCCCTGAGGTTGGGTTCTGGACTCAGCACAGGCAGGTCCCAAGAAAGTGGTTTAAGTCTTTGTGGGCAGGCTGTGTCTATCACATGTCCCCAGTGGGGGTGTGTGGTCAGGGAGAGAGGTTCATGGAGGTCTTCTCCAGCATTCAGCCCGGGGGCTGGAGGACCACAGAACCAGGAGGTGCGGGCCAGGGCAGCTCTAGGTTTGGCTGTGGGGAGGATGGTGGCCTGAGGGGTCTCTGGGCTATCCGGTCAGAGGCAGCCCGGATCCCTGTCCTCTAACACTCTGGGATCAGCTCCTGCAGAGTCCCCTCCCAGGCCTCGGGCAGCCCTCTGTCCGGGACAGGCCTGTGTGGTCATCTGTCTACCCCTCTCCACTCTGGAGACCACAAGGGGAGGGTCTGATGCCACAGGACCGGCACAAAGACAGCCCAGGTCCCTGTGACACAATAAGAAACACCGTAGTCCCCCCTTATTCACAGGTTCCGTTACCCGCAGTCAACCGTGGCCCAAATGTATGAAATGGAAAATTCCAGAAATAAACAACTTGTACGTTTTAAATTGTGTCTCGTTCTGAGTAGCATTATGAAGGCCCACTCTGTCCTGCTTGGGACATGACTCATCCTTTGTCCAGCGTGTCCTCCCTGCTTCTGCTCCTCACTCCTCACCACTTAGTAGCCATCTCACTTATCAGAGCGACCGTCCTATTTGATTATTAGTCATCATTGTTAATCTTTTACTGTGCCTAGTTATAAATTAAATTTTATCATAAGTAAGTACGTATAGGGAGCATAGTGTACATAGGATTCGGTACTACCTGAGTTTTCAGGCATCCGGTACGAGTCTTGGAGCATATCCCCTGTGGATAAGGGGGGGCTACCCATGTATTTGGCCTTTGTCCCTGGGTCCTGGCACAGAGCTCCTAAAGCCCGGGGAATGCTGAGTCTTAGGGGTGAGAGGAGCATCTTCTGTTGTTCATAATGAGCCCTGCCTGAGGTTATGCTTAATGGGGGAGCCCTAGGTAGCTTTAGGATGCAGGCTGGTCACCAGAGGAACCAACCATGGGATTAGGGGGTTGGAACTTTCAGCCCCACCCTCACCCCAATAATGTCCAAGGGAGGGGAGAGGGGTTGGAAAATGAGTTCAGTCACCAAAGGCCAATGCTTTCATCAATCATGCCTGGTAGTGGAACCTCCATAAGAAAAACAGACAATGGGGTTCAGCGAGCTTCTAGGCCGGAGAACAGGGAGGTGCTGGGAGGGTGGCACCCTCCAAGAGGGCACGAAGCTCTGCTCACCCCCTTCACACCCAGCCGCATGCATCTCTCCTATGATGCTATTCCAAGCTGTATCCTGTCATAAACCAGCAATACTCAGTAAACTGTTTTTCCTGAGTTCTGCGAGCGTTCCAGCAAATTACCAAAACTGAGGAGGTGGTCATGGGAATCCCCAATTTCTAACCAAGTTGGACGGAAGTGTGCGTTCCCCCGGCACGCCCTGCTTGCCACTGGCGTCTGAAGAGGGGGCGGTCGTGTGGGGCTGAGCCCTTTCACTGCAGGGTCTGCACTAACTCCAGGCAGTTAGTGTCAGAAGTGAGTTTGATTGTAGGACACTCGGTTGGTGTCCGGAGAGTTGGAGAACTGCTTGGTGTGAAAGACCCCACACATTTGGTGCCGGAAGTGCTGTGAGTAAACACAGGTTGCAGTGCCCTCTAAGTTCCTTGTTGGCCCTTCTCCGTCCTGCTATGGGCCCAGGAGGCTGGGACATGGACCATGGGCCACACCGTCCAGACCCTTCTGCCCTCTTGCTTCTGGTCAGGTGCGATCAGAAGGCAGGAGAGAGGCAGGGTATTTACTCACCAGCTCCTCCAGTGGCTGCGCCCCTCACCCCACAGCCCCAGCTGCTGCCAGGTGGACCCTGCCCATGGCTCCTAGTCACTGGCTGGGAAACACCACCCCCTCCCCTCACATCAGCCTCAGGTTCAGGCTTATGGCCCCAGCAGCGCCTTAGGCCACCCTCTCCTGTTGGTTCCCTAACGCTGCCCACACCTTTGTAAACTCTCTCAATTGCCCTGCTAGAGGCATGCCATCTGTTTCCCGCCAGGGCCAACCCACACAAGGCGTAGGTTTGTGGCAGGCAAGGCCTTGGGGTCACCTAGTTCAACCTTCACTTTTAGCAGCAAGGGGCACTGAGGCCCAGAGCGGGTGAGTGATCCGTCCAGGGTCACCAGCCCGGGGGTGGGGCTCATGGTTGCTGCGAAAAGGCTGTGGAAAGACGAGGACAAGCTGGAAGTCGGTTTGCTTCCTCCCCTGCCTGCCTCTCCCAGCCTGGCGCCCCCAGGGCCCAGTGAGCGTTTCCTGCACAGCAGGAGCAGGATGTGTCTGCACCGGCTAATAAACCAATTAGGGCCATGAGCACCTCCCAGAGATAGGCCGCTGCGAGCCAGCCAGTGCCCTCCTTCCCGATCCTCTGCCCCAGTGGGTGAGGCCCTGCACCTGGCATGGGTGCCTCCTGATGTTCCCCACCCCACCCCACCCTCTAGCTGCCCCCCACCTGCCCACCCGGCAGTCCCCAGCTGCTCCCAGGCCTTTGCACGTGCTGTTGCTCTCGCCTGGGCACCCTTCCCGTGCCCACCTGGGGCAGTGCTGCCCCTTCCCCAAGGCCACGCCTGCTTAGGAAGCCTCCCCAAGCCTCCGTGTCTGTGCTCCCTCCATCACTGTGCGCGGCAATACCCCTCTCTCCTGCTTCACAAGGAGGGCGGAACCTGGCTCGAGTCACCTCCAGCCCTCAGGGCCCACCCGAGGGGAGCTGATCATGGAAATGCCGGGCGCCTGGGTTGGGTTCAGGGCTGGAGTCTGCTGTGGGCTGAGCCCAGGCCTCTCTAGGAGCTGAGTCTCACAGGTACTTCCTGCCCCCAGGCCCAGAGTAAGCACAGGGCTGGGCGACGCTTAGACGCTGCAGCTCTTGTACAGGAATTGGAGAAAGGGGAGGTGAAGGGCCCTCAGTCCTCCAGCCAGGAGGCGAGGCCAGCAGGAGAGAGGGGCCACAAGAGGATGCTGGGGGCGAGGGGAGCAAGTGTCAAACACACAGAGCAGGGGCAGCCCATTCACCTCCTTGGTTTGGACTCACCTCGGCCCAGTGGGCAGTGTGATCATCCCCATTTTACAGATCCCTATCGGGACACTGAGGCCAGAAGAGGGCTTGCTCTGCCCTAGATGACTTAGCTGGCCTAGGACCCTGGGCCTCAGCCCTGGCACTATATCCTCCTAAGACCCCCAGCCCCGAGGATCTGGGGGCGGCGGGTTGGGAAACATCCAGGTATACAATGACACAGCTGTACAGGGGGTTGCCAGGGACATTTATTTCTGAGGTCCAGAAGCTGCAGGGCATGCTCCCGGCCCGGGCTCTGCAGCCTGGACCAGGGAGGAGGCTGAGGGATAGATGGGAACCCCCTGGAGCCGCTCAGGAGCCCCCCACAGCTGGACGGCTGAACATGTGGTGGGGGTTATATCTTCTCATGAACGCCAACTCCCCTGGTCCCGAAATGGGGGTGCTCCCACAGGTGTCATAGCTTGGGTGGGGACAGGGAGGAGAGAAGGAGAGAGAATGATGGACACAGGGCCTGAGGTCCCCTGACCATTGCCTGGACCAGAGCTTGAAGTCCTAGGCATAGGAGCCCTGGAGAAACGGAGGCTCCACCGGCCAGGCTGGATTAACCAAAGGAAAGCAGACTATTCCTCTACACTTCACAAAGCCAGCTCTCCCTCCCTGGCCTTGTCATCACCCAGCCCCCATGCCCTCCTCTTCCCCTCCCCACACCCCAGGATGCCTGTCTCCCCTAATAAAAACCCACCACTGGCTTCCTCTGGCCTTCAGGACACAGCCATTCCCTTGCCTGGCCCCCCCCACAACTCTTGGGCCCCAGCACTGCCCCCTCTCCATCCTCCCCAAATCCTACTCAGGGATAGGTTTCCCCTTTCCTCTAGGGCAGTGGTAGGCAAACTCATTAGTCAACAGAGCCAAATATCAACAGTACAACGATTGAAATTTCTTTTGAGAGCCAAATTTTTTAAACTTAAACTATATAGGTAGGTACATTGCTATTAACTTAATTAGGGTACTCCTGAGGCTTAGGAAGAGCCACACTCAAGGGGTCAAAGAGCTGCATGTGGCTCGTGAGCCGCAGTTTGCCGACCACGGCTCTAGGGCCATTTGGACACCCCTTCTCCACCAGGCCCCCATCTGAACTCTGAATGAAAGGCTTGAGGCAAAGATTAGCACTTGGCCTATAAGCACTTCACCTGGGCGACTCCCAGCTGGAGTCTGCTGCCTGCCCCCATTCACAATTCCAGTTATTGCCACCAGGGGGCAGTGGTGCCCACTTGGACATTGTGAACCCCTTGGGCAGGTAGCAGGGAGAGACAAGGGAGGGAGAGGTTCAGAGATCCTGGAACCTTGGGGATTCCTTGCTCAATGATTGCTACCCATGTCTGGCCTTCAGGGAAAGCCACTCCAGCAAGCCTAGTGAGGGGGAGCTGGGCTGCGGGCCTGGGCCGGGGCTTCTATGGAAGAATCGAGGGAGGGCGAAGGGGTAAGGGTGGTCCAGGTCAGGGACCTCACCCCTCCCAGGGCCCTGCCCACTTACCAGGTGTAGATGAGCAGGCCAAGGAGGGCCGTGAGGAGGACAGCCAGCAGCACTGACAGGATGGCAATGATGACCACTGTGCCCGCGCTCCGGAGCCCCGGGGCAGTCTGGAGTGCCTCGGCTGAGGGGCATGAGGGGACCCCACAGGCAGGCAGGGCAGGCCGTGCAGGGAGGGAAGATATATGATCTGACCTGAGAAGGGAGGCCTGGAACAGCCTCCAGATCAACCACCCACACCCAGGTTGGGGGAGGGCTACCTGCCGACAGGTAGGCTCTGACCGACAGGGGCTGGCCCACACCCAGTCCTCAGGACAGGATCGCCCTAGTGTGTGAGCTGCTCATCTGGCCCCATACCTTGCTGCAGACGGGTGTCGCTGGACCACTCTGTCTCAGCCACGGGTCCTCTGTCACTCATCACCAGGAACTTCACTCTGAACGGAAGACCCAGCATTGGGGGTGAGGGTCCCTGGGTCCTGAGCTTTTGGGCCCTGGTGCCTCTCAGTCTGCCCCCTTGACTCCCAGGGCCTGGTGGGTGGGGGAGGGGGACTAAGGCTTAAACACAGCCTTGGACTCCAGTGGCAGCTGTGACATTTCCCAGCTGTGTGGCCTTGTGTGCCTCCCTCACCCGCTCTGGGCCTCAGTGTCTCACTTGGGAGATGTGTGTGGAGTGGACTAGATCCCCCAGCACTGAACATCCGTGAGTCAAGCCCTGAGTGAGGGGAGATGGCTTGAGGGACCAGTCCCTCCCGGGGGCACCCCCTGCCTGGATGGGGAGACTCCACCTGTGGGATCCAAATTGCCGATAGGGGCAGGGGCTCAAGTCAGGGGCTCTCTGCTCAAGAAAGACAGGAGAATTCACCCAGGCCTCCTCCCATTTGCAGAACTAGGGCAGGGAACCCAGGTTTGGGCGCAGGCAGAGCTGCTCACCGGTAGGGACCGGGGCCTGGCAGGGGGTGGTTGCAGCCCCTTGTGGTTGGGGAGCAGCCAGTGTCATTGCCCACACGGAGGACCCGGAGCTGGTTGCCAGGCTGGCCACCCGGATAGAGCGCCCGGTTGGCCATCAGCGTGAGGTAGTAGCCCTTCTGGGGGAAGTCGGCAGGGACTGGGCTGTCCTCCACCCTCTGTGGGGCGATGAAGTTCTGGGAGGCTGAGGATGGCATTCAGGTCAGACGGTGGGTCATGATGGCTCTGACGGGCGGGGCTGGCCCACCCCCAGTCCTCAGGAGCCTGCGGGTGCCCAGGCCTCATGCTTGACCTGCTCATCTGGCTCCATATGGCATGGGGGCCACGTGGGCAGGGCTGCAGCACATCCCACCAGGCCAGACAGCCCCTGGCCACATCCCCGGCAGCACCTCCTCCACCCCTGCTGCTCCTCCAACGCCCCTGTCCGTCTCTCAGAGGGAAAACCAGGCCCGCCCCAGCGGCACCCACCATTGCTGTGGGCCACCACCAGCCAGATGGGGTCAGAGTCAGAGATGTTGAGGCGACTGAACTGGCCTCGCGGCTGCTCCAGCGTGAAGGTGGACTGCGTGCGTGTCCCCGCGAGAGTGGCAGGTGAGAGCTGGGGCACATAGTCGATGCGCTCTGGGGCCGGTGGGGTCAGAGAAGAGGCTCAGCCAGGAAACCAGGCTCCCACAGTCCAGACTGAGGGGGGGAGCACAGCCCTGCCTGGAAGCCCAGACTGAGGGGGAGGACAGGAGCCAGGGAGCCCGATCTGAGGGGAGAGGCACGGCCCCGCCCTGGGGGTCCTGGTCTGAGGGAGACGGAGGGCTTTTCCTGGGAGCGTTGTTCAGGCTTTCATCTGTGCTCACAAGTCCAGCCCTGGCCCTGCCTGGGGAGCCCAGGAGGGACGGGCTCCGGGAGGCCAGGGGAGGCCCGTCTGGCCCTGCCCTACCTCGGGTCCCTGTGTGACGGACAGAGTCCAGGGAACGGGACAGGAGGCCCCCCTCCCAGCTGCAGGAAGTTCTTTTGGGGAAGGGGTCGTAGGCTTTGTTAGGGTTACACTCAGATCGGAGGGAGCCTGAACCCTCTGGTGCCCAGTGACCTCAAGTTCCCTCCAGCTCCACCTGCATGGTCCAGATTCCTTTGCTTGATGAGAGAAATGAATGGCTGGGGTGCAGGGGGAGGGGGGGGAGACAGTGACAGAGGAAATTCCACACCAAGACCTCAGGCCTGGATGTGGGCCACCAAGAAGGGGGCTGTGTCCTGGCTCAGAGCCTAGCACACCCTCTCCTCCCCACCCAGTGCTCGGCCACCGCCCACCCCGCCCTCAGGCAACTTCCCTCTGGAACTGGACCCCTCTCGGCCCCTCACAGCCTCATCCGGGAAAAGCAGGATGGCTGAGAAGGACGAGAAGCCTGGGCTCCATGCCCATGCCCGGCCCTGCTGCTGGGGGAGCTCAGAGCCCCTAACTTCTCCCCGGGCCCCCTGAGAGCAGTGCTCCTCCTCTTCAGCCCCAAATCCCGGAGAGCCGCAGAGAAATGAGTGAGCTTCTGTGCACGTCTCCAGGACCCTCTCGCCCGCTTTGGGTTCAATTCAGGTCAGTTAAATTCATTTCCATTTCATTCCAGTTCACTCCCAGGGTTCAGAGCTAGCACCCTCCTTTCTCTGAGCTCCCAGCTCTGTCTCAGGCCCAGTGCGCAGTGCACACAGCAAGGACCTCACGCTCGCTTAATGAGGGAACCGGGGACAGCGGCGGTTCCTCTGGCTTAAGAGCTCACAGTGACCAATGCCTGCAGCCCCCCTCCGCGAGCTTCCTTGGAGGCTTCTTTTAACTTTGGTCAGGACAGGAAGGGGGGCGAGGAGGGGAGAAGGGGGACCATTTGGTGAGAAATGGGGTGCAGGCTCAGGGTGCACAGAGGTGAAACCCAGAGAGAGAGGAAGCATGCGCACTCCCCTAGGCTGGCGTGGGGGACAGGGTCTGCCTTGTGACCTCTTTGGTGGGTTGTCTCTCCTGACCCACCCAAGACCCAGTCCCCAGCTGTGAGGCATGGGAGCTGAGGTCTGTGCTGAAGCCCGAGGCACAGCGGGCACCCCTGCCCCACCTCCCCTCTCACTCACCCAGGCCTGTCCCCAGCGGCAGGCAGATCAGCAGCAGCAACGGTGGCATCAGCGGCCCAGGCTGTCCCCCACTGAGCCCCATGGCCGGCCAAGTCCAACTGTTTGTCAGAGGGTCTGTCTGCCGCGTCCAGAGCTCCGAGCTCCTGGGCTGGGCTGGGCTGGGCTGGGGGAGGCTGCTTCTGGCACCTCCTGCTGCCCCTCCCAGGTGCCCCCTCCTCCCAAACAACTGGTTGGACAGGTCTGGGGCAGAATCTGCTGGCCCCATGGATCTGGCATTGCCAGGGAGGGGTCTGAAGAGAACAATCAGCTGCTGCTGCCAAGACAAGCCTGGACACCCTCACCCCAAATCCAGGAGGGCCCGGGAGGGGCCGTGGAGTGAGGAGCAGCCCGGTCCATCGGCCGTGACAGTCCTGCCATGCCCTGTGAAATCTTCTCATCCTAACAGCCCCCAACCGGCAGCAGGAGCTCTCACAGCCTCCTGTGCAGAAAGGGGTCCCCTCATTTTCTACATGAAGCATAGAGAGGGGAAGGAGGTGTGTCCAAGATCACCCAGCCAGCCAGGCAGAGCCCGAACTGGAGGATCACACCCAGAGGCAAGCTCACAGGGGGCTCCCTGACATCACCCTCCCTCCTCTCCTCATCCCGATGACCTGCCCTCTCTCCAGCTGTGGCCACTGCCCAGGCCGGACAACACAGATTACTGAATAGGGCCCAGGGCGGGTGGGAAGGGCACGGACTGACCCCATCTCACCTGGACAGGAGCGGCCGCCCCACGTGGGTTTCCTGCCTCGGGCACCAGCCCCTCTCAGCCGGGTGTCTGCCCCTGGCCAGAGATACCCTCCCCAAACGCAATCTCCTTTTAGGAATAGTAAAATAAATAAATAAATAAAAAAATCATTATAAATATTTTCCAGCTATTATAATGCATTTACACTCTCTTTAACTCTATTTTTATTGTTTTCAGAGAGAAAGGGAGAGGGGAAGAGAGATAAAAACATCAATGATGAGAATCATTGATCAGCTGCCTCCTGCATGTCCCCCACAACCCAGGCATGTGCCCTGACTGGGATTTGAACCGTGACCCCCTGGTTCATTAGGTTGATGCTCAACCTCTGAACCAGGCGGGCTGGGCTCCACTGTCTACTCATCGTAACTGCATTGTTACATCAAGCGCACCCCTTTGCACGCCTGTGCCTCCTCCTGCTGAAAGCTCCCTGAAGGCGGAACCTGGCCCTCACTCGGGAGGGTGGAGGGTGGCAGAGTGGGGTGGGCTCCCAGCGTCTTACACGGAACCCCCCAGAGAGCAGCCGTCTCAGCACAATGGCGGTGACACTGCTGGGTTTCAGATGCAGGTCGTCCTGCAATCAGCACTTAGAGGGCACGGAGGTGGCACAGGCAGAATTGCAAGCAAACATGTTGGCCTTGGAGAGAGAGCATGACCAGAGCTGTTCTGCCCAGACGCAGAAGAGAGGGGGACATGAGTGGGTCTGACTGGGGCCCAGCCAGCAAGTCCCAGTCAGACCCAGCCCTGCAAAGGCTTTCTTTACCTCCCAGCTTTTCACTGTAGAAATGGCCACATGTCTGTCGTATAGAAGTACATCGTACAATGAGTGCCTGAATAGATAACCGCTACCCAGATCCAACAGGTGTTAACATTTTGCTATCTTTGCTCTGGATCCCTCCCTCCCAGACAGACAGATTTACTATATATATGCTGTGTTACTCTCTGTACATGTGTAGGAGGCAGTTAGACAGGCGTGAGCAGAGTCGGAACCATAAGCCGGGTTCGGAAGGTCACCAGGGAGAAAGCCCCAGGGGACCTTTCCTCCCCGGCATTTTGCTGGTCCTGAGGTTGGGACCTTCCCCGGCCTTTCCTCCCTTGGCATGTCCTAGTCATGGGGTAGGAACGGCCTCCATGGTCCCTCGAGCAGCCAGGCCCGTGAGCATTAAGCCCTCAGGACAATGAGGGTCTGACCCCCATCTAAAGGTTTTGGAAGCAGAGCCTGGGGTCTGTTGACCACAGAGACAGAGTTTTGGTCAAACTAGAGATAACATCTAGGCCTCAGTTGTGTTTCAGCTCCAGGCCCAGAAAAGCAGCAGAACCTGGGCTGACATCAGGACCAGCTGCAACGACTAATGACCCCGTGCACTGGTGCCGGCCAATCAGTGGAGACCACGACCCTGAGGAGACACCTGGAGAGATGATCCTATTCTATCGAGATCCTCCCTGAGACCTCCAGATAAGAACCCTCAAGATGAAGGACTCAGCTGCCTCCCCCCCCCCCCCCACACACACACCTTCTCCTCTCCCCAGGTGTGTTTTCTTTGCTTTTCTTTCTCCTAAGTTCCAAGAGCCCTTCTTTTGCCGCTGTAACTTGCATCTGGAGCTCACACAGCCTAGCTCTCACTTCTTTCATGGCTCACTCCTTCTGCCTTTCTTTTCTTTTTTTAAATATGTTTTTATTGATTTCAGGAAGGCAGAGGGAGAGATCGATAGAAACATCAATGATGAGAGAGAATCATTGATCAGCTGCCCCCTGCATGCCCTCTACTGGGGATGGAGCACGAAACCTGGGCACGTGCCCTGACCGGGAATCAAACCGGGAGCTCCTGGTTCATGGTTGATGCTCAACCACTGAGCCACACCAGCTGGGCATACCTCTGTGACTTTCTAAATCAACTTTCACTTGTACTTGAGACTTGGCTCTGAATTCTCAAGGACACAGGCAACACCTGTGTTTCACTGCTAACATCTACTGGTATATACACACGTGTATGTATTGTGGATGTAAAGAGGCCACATGCTAACCTAACTCAGGGAAGGCCTGCATGATGGTCTTGCAAACTCAGAGATCTAAAGTAACCACAAAGGATGTTCTGAAATTAAACTTTATCTAAAAGCAGTTATGGTGGGTAGTCATGTCCTAGGCCAGTATCTTCCCTGACAAAGGTTAAACTTTTTTTTTCTTTTTTTTTTAGTTTTTGTTTTGTTTTGGTATATATATATATTTCAGAGAGGAAAGGAGAGGGAGAAAAAGATAGAAACATCAATGATGAAAGAAAATTATTGATCGGCTGCCTCCTGCACGCCCCCAACTGGGAACTGAGCTGGTAACCTGAGCATGTGCCCTTGACTGGAATCAAACCCAGGACCTTTCAGTCCGCAGGCCGACGCTCTATCCACTGAGCAAAACTGGCTAGGGCAAAGGTCAATCTTTACCTTAACTGAGCCTATTGTCTTTTTGCATCTACAATATCAATATTGTTGGTGAAAGGGTGAATCAAGATACAGGGCTCTACTTTAGTAGGGGCTAATAAGAGAAAGCTCGCTCTGCTGGCCTAAGCCTTGCACAACATGCTCCCCTTAGGTGGTTATTTTACAGAAATTCCTGAAGACCATAACCCCTGCACAGCCCCCTGAGAAAGGACGTCTGGCGCCAGCAGAAGGACAAAGGGCGACTAAGGTCCCGATACGTGTGTCCAGCCGAAGCCCCGTCTGCAGCTCTCCCTGAGCATAAAAAGCCTGCTCCCTCCCCAGTTCGCCGCTGACTCTTTCTCTCAGGCCACCTGCGCCCAGGTGACAGGAATAATTATCATTTTGATTACACTGAGCCTTGAGTCTGTTCTGTGTGACCCCGGCCCAACCCCGAACCTTTCAGGTGGAATTTCAAAGTAATTTTCCTTTTTCCAGACCCCTCAAAGCACAGGCACCGCTCTTCAGAGACCACAAATCCTCTCATTGTTATCGAGTTAATTGTTGACTGTTAACTATCCCGCACCCACCTGAGTAAAAGAAGTACGTGTCTATCATTTTACTTTTATCCAATCCCAGAGGTTTCTCCACTTTGCTTTCTCCCGCCTCCCTAATCTATCACCAATGGAGTTCATGCAACCCACTAGCGCAGTGGTTCTCAACCTTGGCTGCACATTAGAATCACCTGGGAATCTTTTTAAAATCCTGATTTCTGGGCCTCATCCTCCAGAAAGTCTGTTTCTTTGTTATGGGGTGAGGCCACAACATTAGTACAGAGGGGCCTTGACTTACGAGTTTAATTCATTCTGAGACCGGAGCCCGTTAACTCAAATTACTCTGTCAACTCAATGCAAAAAACCAGCCGAGAGACAGCTGGTATCTCAAAAAACTCGTTAGTCGGGACACTCGTAAGTTAAGGCCCCACTGTAACAAAGAAAGAATTTCCGGAGGATGAGGCCCAGAAATCAGGATTTTAAAAAGATTCCCAGGTGATTCTAATGTGCAGCCAAGGTTGAGAACCACTGCACTAGCGTCTCCTCTTTTGATTGTAATGTATAAAACAAGGTGAAAAAAACCACCATTCTCTGGAGCATTATCTTAATTTGTTGAGATTCTGCTTCCCGGACATTGTCGACAGTTTGGCTCAAATAAACTCACAAAAATTCTTTACAGGGTTGAATGTTTCTTACGTTAACATTACATGTAGTATGTATGCTTATATAATAGTTTTTTGTTGTTTTATTTTAGAAAAAACACAGGCTTTTATTGTTCTCATGTCAAAGGCAGGTCTTTGCAGGCGGGGGAGTGAGTTTTGACAGCAGGGAGCAAGCGCCTACTTGCCAGCGATGAGTGGGTTCCGCAGGACCAGTGACCGAGTCCCCCACAGGAACATCTTGAGATGTAGCGGCCCTTGCTGACTGGCTGGGACTTCTTCTTGCCCTTGCCACGCTTGGGGACCTCGGCCCACATCCGTCACATTCCCCAGCGCCATGTTGCAGTGCCTGTCGAAGCCTTCACCTGGCCGGGAGCTTCTTGTTGCGACAGCTGATGAGCACCTGGTGCTGTTCTTGACCGACTGCGTGAGCACGGAGAGTGGGCCCGTCGTAAACTCTTCCTCCTCCTGCTCTGCTGCTCCTCCGGGGTCACCTCACTCCTGGGCTTGTCCTCCGCATTGCATCGGCCTCTGAAGAGCTATAATAGGTTTTTATATATTACTTTTTAAAAAAAATTCTCAACCTCGGAGTGAGGATATTTTTTTCCGTTGATTTTTAGAGAGTGGAAGGGATGGGGGAGCGGGAAAGAGAGAGAGGAGAGAGAGGAACATCGATGTGACGTGATAGAGACACATCAATTGGTTGCCAAGGATTGAACCTGCAACCGAGATATGTGCCCTTGACCAGAAATTGAACCCGTGATCCTTTGGTCCGAGGGCTGATGCTCTAACCCAGTGGTTCTCAACCTTCTGGCCCTTTAAATACACTTCCTCATGTTGTGACCCAACCATAAAATTATTTTTGTTGCTACTTCATAACTGTAATGTTGCTACTGTTATGAATCGTAATGTAAATATCTGATATGCAGGATGGTCTTAGGTGACCCCTGTGAAAGGGTCATTCAACCACCAAAGGGTTCGTGACCCACAGGTTGAGAACCGCTGCTTAACCGCTGAGAAAACCAGCCAGAGCTATAGTACATATTTGTATATAATAATATTAATACATATTCCCTGCTGTGTCCCCTCTTCCTGCTCCTGATGTCCCCAGCCCAGTGGGTCCCAGTGTGCCGGGGGTGGGTCCCAGATGCCCAGAGAGGCCAAGGTGGTGGGGAGCATGCCAAGCCCTGGGAATATAGTCTATTTCTAAGGACCTTCCTTGCTGTGTAACTTAGGGTGACTCATGGGACAGGGTGGGGCTCCCACTCACCCCCTCACATAGAGCAGCCAGCAAAAGGCTCCCAAGGCCCACCCAGCCCTGTGTCACCAAACAAGGCCCAGACTCCTGACAGCCGTCACACCCTGTCCTCAAGAGGTGCACAGGGAGGCGGAGCAGGGCTCTTCCTCACCCTTCCCCAGCACAGAGAAGCCCCAGATCTGTGGCCTCGGACTTTGTCTGGGTAGAGAGGGGAACTGCAGGTGACCCAGTCCCTTCCTCCTCCACTAGCCTGGCCTTGGGGCCCCTCACCAGACCCTGACAGACACCCATTTGTGCTAATATCAAGGGGGAAAGACCTCACAGTTCATCCACCCTGCCCTGGGCCTGACTCTTTCTCCTGCCTGGTGGTCTGGCCCCTTCCCAGTGTGTTTGTACACTGCTCTCGGCAGGCAGCTCACCACCTCCCCAGTCTAGTTAAGGCCTCATACACATGGAATCATAAACCAGAAAATCTCTTAATAGGTGAAATCTCACAACGTCAGGCCATGAAACAGGCAACCCTGGCTGGTTCCTGATCCACCGAGCCTGGATCCTTCCTGTTCTGAGCCTGCATCTCCCCCTCTGCATACTGGGCAGCTGGAGGTCAGAACACTGAGACCTTTTCAGCTGTTCCATTTAGTTCAGCTGTTCAGTGAGGGTCTGCTATGTCCCAGGACCGCTGTACACAGTGGGCATGAGCTTCGGCAGGACAGAAGCTCTAGAGGAGAAGTGGGGGTTGGGAAAAGGGCAGGCACTTTATCCATTTATTCCTCTAGCACAGCGGTTCTCAACCTGTGGGTCGCGACCTCTTTGGGGGTCGAACGACCCTTTCACAGGGGTTGCCTAAGACCATTGGAAAACACATATATAATGACATATTGTTTTTGTGATTAATCACTATGCTTTAATTATGTTCAATTTGTAACAATGAAAATACATCCTGCATATCAGATATTTACATTACGATTCATAACAGTAGCAACATTACAGTTATGAGGTAGCAACGAACATAATTTTATGGTTGGGGGTCACCACAACATGAGGAACTGTATTAAAGGGTCGCGGCATGAGGAAGGTTGAGAACCACTGCTCTAGCAGGTCATCATAGAGCCCCTGTTCTGTGCCAGGCTCTGGGGTACCTCCGGGAAAATAAACCAAGTCTGACATCCTGGTGGGGAGGGACAGGCAGTAAATAAACAAATACAGATATGACAGATACGGCTGCAAGGAAACAAAAGTTGGAGGTTAGAGTTATAGAAGAGGGGCTGTTTTAGGCAGGGAGGTCGTGGAAGGAACCCTCACAAGGTGACATATAAACATAACCTGGATGAACCAGAAGAGGGCGAATCATGAGACCCCTTGAGAGAGTACTCTACGGGCAGAGGGGTCATCTGGTGCAAAGGCCTGGGGGTCAGTTGTCTATTGCTGTGTAACAGATGCCTCCAAAGCTCGGAGGATTTAAACAGCAGCCATATAATCATATAACAATTCTGTAGGAGGGCTGGGCTCAGCTGGGAGGTTCTTCTGCTCTGTGTGGCGTCAGCTGGAGTCACTCATGTGGCTATGGCCAGCTGGGAGCTCAGCTTCACTCACATGTCTTGAGGGACTGGAACAACTGACCACTGGCTGGGCCTCTCCTCTGTCCTCTCCCTCCCCTTTATCTTCCCTCTCCCTCACCTCTCTCTCCTTTCCTCTTTCTCTCCATGAAGTTGCTCATTATTTGGTGATCCAGTCTAACCTTCTTTACATGGTAGCAAGAACCTCAAGAGGGCAAAAATGGAAACTGGCAGGCCTCTCAAGGGCTAGGCCTGAACACTGTACAGCGTCAGTGCAGCCCCATTCTAGGACCAGAGCAAGCGAGAGGCCAGCCCAGGGTCAAAGGGAGGGGAGGGGATGTCACTTGGAGGGAAGTGCAACATCCACACAGGGATGGCGGAAATGCCAGTGCCGTGATGGAACAATCCATCATGGGCCCGAGCGGTCACCCTGCAAGAAGCTGGGGGGTGTTCATGGGAGACCCTGTCCCCCAAGATCCAACTCAGGCCACCTCCCTACTCTGCTCATCTCTCCCTGCCGCTCACTCCACCAAAGGCCTTCCTAAAACCCGTCTGCCCCACCTCACTGGGACATCTCTGCATTGCTCAACTCCTCCGCTGGCATGCAGGGCCTTCCACGCCTTGCCCCGGGCCATGTCTCCCCTCTTCTGACGTCCCCAGCTCCACACCCCCCTCTTCCCGGCCACCTGAGCCCCTCGACACACCTGTTGTGCTCAGACACCACCTCCTTCAGGCAGTCCCTCGTGTGCCCCCACCCCATATTTGATGCCTCCCCCAACCCTAACCCTAATCCTAATCTTAACCCTAACCCTAAACCTGTCTTGTTGCCCCCATCACAGGTCCCCTCCCCCCGAACTGTACTTTCTGTGCCCAGTTTTATCTGCACCCCAGCTGTGTCCAGCAGAGGACCCCACATGGAAGAGGCGCCCATAGATGTCTGATGACCTGAGCCCACTCTCAGCTTCCCACCCTTCCTGCCCATCCCCCCACCCTTAGCCCCCATGTCCATCCCACCTGCCCTGGGAACTCCCACTGCCCTGGTCCCTTGGAGTTAGAGCTCAGACAGGGACAGGGCTCCATGCACAGGGCTGAGAAAGCAGAGCTGAGCCTGGAGTTTTCATGAGTTACTCCTGGGGGCTTTGGGCCTCCTCCACGAGGAGCAGGGAGGGGTGGAGGTGGGGAGGGAGAGGCCAGGATGACTAATGGGACATTCTTCTCGGTCCCTTAGAGGGAGAAGTCAAGGAGAAGAATGGTTGTCAAGGGCAACACATTCTTTCCTGTGGCTGTGGGTGACTCTGGCCTGCGCCACCCACAGCGAGTGGGGTTTCGGGGAGCTGGGGCTGGAGTGTCTGGGCCGAAGGAGCCTTGAGATCTTCCCTCACTTTACAGAGGGAAAGCTGAGGCTGGGAGATGAGCAGGGCTCACAGCAAATGAGGCATAAAGGGGGAACCCTGGGCTCCTGTCTCAGTCCTGGGGCCGTCTCCAGCGTTCAGGAACATCCAGGCGGAGGCCTGTGTGTGAGACAGCAGAGGTGGGCCAGGATGGCTGCAGTGGCTTCTGGCATCTCTAGCTGCAGGGAAGAGAGAGAGAGAGCAGCCCAAAAAGCTGGGCCAAGGTTCCAGTGTGAGCAGGGCCAGGGCCAGGGCCAGAGAGCAGGCAGGCTCCAGCCTACACTCGTCCAAGTCCATTCTGAAGGCCTTAACCTGCCCAGGCCCTTTCTTACCCCCGAGCCTCTGTACAAGCTGTTCCTGCTGCCTGCAAAGCCCCGGCCCTCTGCCTGCCTGTGGGTTCTCAGTCAAACATCTCACCGCTGACCACCTGCTCTGTGCCTGCCGCCCCCATTACCACTCATGCCCATGACACCACAGTGGTGGGAGGATGGCTCTGATTGGGCTGCCATAGCAAAATGCCACCGACCGGGCGGCTTATACTACAGAAATTTATTGCTCATAGTTCTGGAGGCTGGAAGTCCACGTTCAAGGGGTCGACAGGATTGGCTTCTCCTGAGGCCTCTCTCTTTGGCTTGCAGACAGCTATCTTCTTGCCCGCTCTTCGCGTGGCCTCTGTGCTTGGCCCCTGGTGTCTCTGTGTCCTAATCCCTTCTTGTAAGAGATTGGGTTGTTGTCTTAGGGCCCAGCCCAAAGGTCTAAATTTACTTAGTCACCTCTCTAAAGGCCCCGTCTCAAATAGACTCACATTCTGAGAGGGAATGACGGCTTCAACGTAGGAATTTTGAAGAACACGATTTGGTCTACAACAGTGGGTGTACCTTCCTAGTGAGTGGGGCACTTTCTGAGAACAGGGGCTGGACCTGAGCCTCTGCATGGCCTGTGGGTCTCTGGGCCAGGTCTCCAGGCCTGTTGTCCTGCCCATAGTGGGTGTCCAGCAACTGCCTCCTCCCCCTGACTCCACCCCATTCCTCTCCCTCCCCCACCTCTGGGCAGGGGTGGGGTGGGCAGGCTGAAGAGTGCACAGTGAGGTGTAGCTGTGTCCCTTGGCTCCTGTTTCATGCAGGTCCCTCCTGAGAAGGTGGAGCCCGCCCTCCACCACAGCCCCTTCTCAGAGCAGACTCGGCCCCTCAGCCACACCGGGGCACCCTCGTGCACGGCCCATCTCTCACTGCAGCAGTCAGGGTGGGTGACTTTCCAGCCTCCGATGCAGCCAGGGTGCCCACCAATCACGCACCCACACCAGACAAGGAAGTGGGTGCCAAGCTCCCAGGGGTGACAGAGCTAAACACCCCCAGGGTGGGACCCGGAAACGCAGCTTCGTGTGGTCTCCAGGCCCTGCTCTTGGAGCCTTCAGGAGCTCCCTGATCTCATCCCGAAAGTTCCTTTCCCACCCAACTCTCCAATTTGCAGCTGAGAATACAAGGGGTGGGGGTGGAGGAGGGGTTTGGTCCCCTGAGGAGACTGAGCCCCTGTGATAGTTGTCCTGTGTCCTGGGTGAAAGAGACCCTACTTTCCCAGAGGCCGGACACTAGGTTGCAGTTCTACCCAGTAATAAAGGATTAAGAAACAATCCAGCCAAGTGAGAGGAACAGAGTGACAGAGCCCACGACAGCAACGCCAGGGCTCCTGTTCCTCCCCCCAAATTGTGCTCAATGACACGAGCCAGTCACAAAGGATCACATATTATGTGATTCTATTTCTATGAAATGCCCAGAAAGCAGGTGAGGAGTTATCAGGGACGGGACTAAGGGAGGTTGGAGAGGAATGAGGAGTGACTGTTTAATGGGTACAGGGTTCCTTTTGGGGTGATTAAAATGTTCTAAAGTTGATAGTGGAACAACTCTGTGAATACTAAAAATCATCGAATTGTACACTTGAAGTAGGCATATTGTATAGTATTTGAATGATATCTCGATGAAGCTGACATTTTAAAAAGAGTGTAAAGGGCCTTTGATAAAACATTCAGTCAACAGTTATTTATTAAGCACCTGCAGGGCACTGTGCTGGCTCTGGGAGCACCCTGGTGAGCAAACCAGATCTGGTCAGTCCCTTCCCTCCTGAAGTTCACAGTTTACTGGGAAGATGGAAAAGCGCACCGTTTTGCATGTCTGATTGCAAATGGAAAATGTGCTGCGAAGAAAAGGAACACAGTGTAGGAGAGCTGAGGGATCAGGAAGGGCTTCCCTGAGGAAGGGAATGGGCCAGAGGGAAGGGAGTGAAGTGGAGGAGTGTTCGACATCAAGAGAAAAGCACGTGCAAAGGCCCTGTGGCCTGTGTGGCTGGAATGTAGGGGATAAGGGATGGATCATGGGACCCCACGACTGAACTGTTGAATCCAGATTCTATGCTTACAGTAGGAAGTCTCTGAGAGCTGTGAGCAATGGTGTGACACCTTCAGGTTTATAATCTGGTCCCTCAGGATGCTGGGAGGAGGATGGGGGTGGGGAGCAGCAACACTGGTGTGGGGAGACCAGCAAAGGGCAGCTACTGACATCCCAGCGAGAGACAAGCTGCCGCGTCTCCACCTGCTGTCATTCTGATTCCTTTGATTTCAGGTCTGATGAGTCACCTGTGAGTCATCACACCCACAATGATTGCTGTGTTTTCCTTTTTAACAATGAACTTGTTTTTAACCACTGAGCCATTATGTTACGGGCCAATGGAGTCCCCAGATACAGCCCTGGGGAGAATTTTAAATGCCATTTAACAAAAGAGTCTCCAAAACTCCATTTAATAAACTATTCTGCACAACACGGCTGTTGTGGTGCACGCTGTTTGGGGCCGTCATGAGCTGGCCCAGGAAGGGCTGGGTTCGGCTGATGACCCTCTCGAGCGTGACTCTGGGCAGAGGGCCAAGGCGCAGCTGCCCAGGGCTCAGCGTGACGGTGACAGTGTGGCCATGTGCAGCCCGCCGCCCCTCGCTGTGTGGATTCTGTGACACCCTGGCATGCTTGCCAGCACAACCCTGGGGCAGAACCCCCACAGTTATGCGGGCTCTCAGGGTGGCCTCCTGCTGACCAGGGTAGGCTTCCATCTTGGTAAAATATTAACAATTTGTTGACGTGCTGTGGACTCACCCACCTGCTAAGACGAGGTCCCAGGACTCCCTTTGCTGGGGATCTGCTGAGGCAAGTTAGGGTGATACCACCACATACAGGCTTCCATTTTGTATTCACACCCATCCCCATGTCAGAAACCCAGGCATAGCCTTCTCCTTCTGCCTCATCTCCCACACCTACTAGTAAGTCCCCAGTTCCTCCACCACCTCCTGAATATTTCTGAACTCACCTCTTCCTCTCCAACCCCCTTTGTCTGCCCTGGTTCAGGGCCCCAGGACCTGCTGTCCCCGCACCCCCCCCCCCGCCCCAGCACTATCTATACCACCGAAGGGCAACATGGTCTCCTTTCTCCTTTCCTGTCTACTTGACTAACTTCCACTTACCTCTCAAGACTCAACTCAAGGGCACATGCGCAGGTTGTGGGCTCGATCCCCAGTGGGGAGCGTGCAGGAGGCAGCCAATCAGTGATTCTCTTTCATCATTGATGTTTCTATCTCTCTCTCCCTCTCCCTTCCTCTCTGAAACCAATAAAAAATAAAATAAAAAAAGAAAGACTCAGCTCAGAAATCACCACTAGGAGCCCCGTGACCCTTGGGTGGGGCCAGCTGCCTCCCCTGGGCTGTCCAGCCTCGTCACAGTCTTCTCCCGTGTGTTGCAATGTCTGTTTGGAGCCTGTCTCTCTGCTCAAGCCCCCGGCAGCCAGATGGGGTGAGAGCGGCTCCTCAGAGGGCGGGGTGGGGGCTGTTCAGGAAGGAGGGGCGCCCTAGGCGTGCTCAGCCTGTCACGGGCTGTGCCTGGGACCAGCGCAGACGCTGGCACTGGGAACAAGCCGCAAGAGACCCCGTGACTTGGAAGAGCCCGGAGCACGTCCCCTGGCCAATCCCCCTGCCCGGAGGGTTTGCTCATGGTTTCACTCAGCAAACACCAGCAGACCCTCTCCCTCCCCACCGCGCCCTCCTGGCAGGCCCCAAGCTGGGCATCCGGGGCCTCGGCGCCTCCTCATCTGGAGTTGGAACCAGGGCTGGACAGGACAGTGTGAGACAGACTCTGCCAGGGGCAGCTGGTGAGGGGGATATGGGGGCATTTTGAACCCTCCTCCAATTCCAGGTCAGGAGGGACCTGGGCTTCAAAGTAGTAGAATTTCAAAGGAGGCTGCCCAAAGGGGCTGGCTCCCAGGAGCAGATGCTACACAGGACACTGAGCTCCTGGCTGCATCTGACTGCTCTGTCTGCGCCTGGAGCGGGTAGTGTGGCTGGTGGGGTGCAGACAGGATAGGGGTGCAGGCAGGAGAGGGGAAAGACCACCTTGGAGCCAGGAGTGCATGGGTTTTGAAAGCAAAGCCTCCCCTGAAGTGTCTGCCACAGAAATGGCTTAGCAGCTGGTTCCTGGCCCTGCAACACATGGGTGGGTTTTCCTGGGCCTGCCAGGAGATGGGGGCACCCCAAAGCACAGTTAGGTCTAGCAATCAAGGGGACAGGCTCAGGGCAGCCCTGGGCTGGTGGCGGTGGGGCTGGACAGAGCTCGGCCAGGCTGGACCCCAGGCGTACATGCTCCTCTTCTGAAATCAGCACAGGCACCACGCAGCTGGGAAAGCCAGACAGCATTTATTCACCTCGAAAGAGAGGGCACCTGTGCCCACAGGCCCCCGCAGGGCACCACCGTCAGTCTAGAGTGGCCAGGGTATATGGGGTCAGGTGGCAGTGGACAGAGCACAATGGGCAAGTCACTGAGCCTCAGTTTCTCATCTAGGGCTGTGTGGATTGGAAAGCACGCAGTGGGCCCTCAAGCGGGAGCGTGGTTGCTCATCCCTCTGGCTCCGGCGGTGAGATGGGGCCTGGAGCCCTGACCTCCAGAGACCCTGCTGAGGCTCCAGGCCGGAGCCCTCCGCCCAACAGAGCCCTGCCAGTCTGTGAATCTGTGAATGGGAGTGAGCCTGCGGGGCTGTGCGGCAACAGCTGCGGTGCACTGGCGCCCTCGTGTGGCCATGAGCGGGTACCACAGGTTTGTGGGCCAATGGACGCGGGGGGGGGGGGGCGGCGGGGGG